CTTATGATTACCCCTGGAGAAGACAATTCCTATATACAGAAAAAAGAACCTGCTATCAATCTCAGCAATCATAAAGAGGCAGAAAATCTGGAGAGAGGGATAGCTGATGCAAAGAAAATAATTTAAAGATTAATGGGACATTAAATACTCATTCAAATACATTTAAAATATACTTCAAGAATATTATAATTCGGCGTTAAAAATCTTAAGAAATTTTCTCATAGGTTATACTTGATAAGTCTGGACTTTGTCTACCTGAAATCTTTTGGCATAAAGCCCGGGACAGTGACCTTGAGTACTCTACTGCTGCTTAAAGCTTGGAAACCTGTTTATTTCTTTTTGATTTTTTTATGCCTGGCTGGATAAATTAATCCTAAAGTGGACTTTTAAAAAACTGTGGCTTGGGAATTAGTAAACCTGTGGGAATTAAGCTATCAGGCTGCGGATACAAACATTGCATTCTACCCTGATACCTTGGGGGTTTAAGTTTGGTTCAGGCCTATTTAGCCAAAGCGGACTTTTTGAAATGACTCTGGAAACTTGGAATATCTGTTTAGCTGGCATCAATTTGCCAGGAATCAATTACAACACAGATACAGTCATCGATCTGGACTGTGAGACTTGGGAACTTCGAATCTTGGCTTAAGCGCTTGGGTAGCTGGAACAAAATGGCACAACAAGGGATGAAACAAAATCTACCCTTCAAAAAATACTAGAAATAGTGAGATCCCATTACCAAGAGGCAAAATTATTCAATCAACATCTGAAGAACTGTAGTCAACAAGCAACAGGGAACAACGAAGAAGGAAATGAGAGTGTGCCGGATGATGTATGCCAATCAAAAGAGGAGCTGGAGGAAATTAAAGGGGAAAACCTACAAGAAACAACGTCAATCTTAGATCCGAAGAGAGTATTAAGGGAATTCAAGGGGAGAAAATCAGCAAAATTAACAACAACAAAAAAAGCCTGGAAGATCTATTGAAGATAGACCAAGTGCATAAAGAGCTAGTGGACATAAATCAGATGCAAAAAATGGTTTCAGAGGGCATGAAAGATGGCAGAAAGCTTAAGAGACACAGAAACACAAAGTGAAAAAAGAGAAATGAGAGAGGGGATTACTTAGAAAGATGAAAAAGGGGAAAACAAGAAGGAGCCCCTTAATGTTGAAAAACATGTACATATTCAACATCGGAAATTGTAAAGGGGTATATACTTTATATTAAAAAGGAGTATTAAATTGAAATAAGGGAGCACTAATCAGGGTAAAGATGTAATATGGTGGGTTTTCATTTTAGGTAAACTAAACTAAATATAAATCTGGGGCATGGATCTGGAACCATTTTCAATAAGAATATTATTAGAAGACCTTGAGAATATTGTACACTATGAGAATAATATTATGATAGTAGTCATATTAAATACTAAAATATGTACATGAATGGTTTGAATGTTTGAAAGATGTCTGGAATTTGGGGGGACAACCGGGAAGACACTGAGATGTAAAAAAACAAATAATTATAAGCAAAGCATGTAACATGTTTGACAAGCACAAACCAATGTAGATAGATTGAAAAACAAATAAAATGTGACGAAAAAAAGAAAAAAAAGAATTCATTAATATTTTGTGATAGCTACAATATTCTTGCTTTCTGGGCTGAAACTTCAACACTATGTTTCTGCTCTCAGGTTAAAAAAACCCATGATCTCACCACAGAAGAGAACCACATCTTCTTTAAGTTATGTTTATTTAGCAATACGGGTGTATATACATTTATGAGACTCCACCTCTGAATCCCCTGCGGCAGGAGACATGCACAAGCAGTGAAGGGCTGGAAACTGCACTGCCCAGGCAGATGGCCATCACGACCTTCTTCCCATCCTGCTTGTCACAACAGTGAAACAAAGGATAAGAAAGGGACAGACAAGAAGCAAATCAGTTCACACGGTAGAATCTTTGGACAGAGACTCTCCGCAGCAGCCAGCGTTAAAACAATCGGGCTCCATAGCCAAACGTCTGTTTAATGCCCTCAAAGTAGTAACGTTGCCAGCCCTCCTTTGTTCTCTCTTCTTCACTGGCTGGGATACCTCTCCCTTCCAGATGGACTTCTGTTTCACCAAATTTGTCGGCAAAGGTCAAGGTGATCGTTGCAAAATGTCCTAAAACAAACATGCAAACCACAACATCAGTAGAGACACATACCCTGTGGCCACACAGTACAGAAAGCTGCCTGTTTCTTTTCCGACGTACGTATGTGGGAAAATCTCCTCTTCCTTCCCAGAAATGCAACAGAAAAGTTGGTTGAGATAGTTTTACTGAAGTATTTAATATAAATGGAAGAAGTTATTGGACACATATGTGTGATACCTGCATCCCTCAAGCCAAGGTTACCTGCTGTATAACTGAGGTCAAGCCTTGCAAACTACTGAGAAATGCTTGTAGCTTTTACTGCTTTCCATGCAGGACTGGGTACCAGTATTGAAATAAGTATCCAAATCTAAGGGATTTTCTGCATTACTATACATAGTAAAATTACTCACCCTCTGGCCATGACTTAAATCTCCACTTCATAGCAATCTGCTTCTCAGAAATCTGGAAAAGAAAGGAAATGTATATAAGCAGGTAGATTTTAACTTTAATATTCAAAAGAAGGAAAGAGATTTTGGTGAAAAAGACTTCAAATATCCATATTATTGATGAACATGTCAATAATCTACTTCTAAGTCAGTTATAAGTACATTTTTATTTGCAAATAAACATGATAAATCCTAAAACAAAATATAACCCATTGCAGCTGAAGAAAGACAAAGTGGCCCATATACCTGAAATATATTGATTATTTTGATTTACGTTGTGCCTTTAACTTAGTTTAACCTTTACCTGTTATTATTGTACAGTACAGTACAGTACCCTGTGCTGTTTTTAGGAAAAAAGCAGGATACTAATCACATCAACCAATCATACTGATAACTCCTTTCATTTTACTGAAATCAGAGTGATCTAAATTTAGTTGCAATCTACCAAACTTCCATTAATTTTTTTTTCTTCAAACCAGATCTGGTTAAACAACCACACACATACATCCATTACCTTCAGTTTTAATTTTGCTTCTAAATGCACTAGAAATATTTCCTCCATATCTAAAACTACAGCGGACTGCCCCAAGACAGTAGCCTCACACAGATATAGCAACTGTTTATAAGATGAAGAACAAACTTTGTGCCTGTAAATGTCTCCTTCCATTACGCTCTGTAACAAACCATAGGGTTTGTTGAATCAGTTTCCCTTTAGATTTAAATGTGAAAATAGTGGTGTATTTCTCACTACAAACCAGGGTATGACAGATCAGGTCATAATTTCGAGTTAGGAGACTTAAGCCACAGTTTTTTCCTTTTGGATGTTACAAAGATTTATTTCTTATACAAGTATGCACTTCAAGGGGAGGATGAAACATACAGGCGTAACACCAGTTCTGGCGTAACTAGCCTGTGTTATCGAAGGCCTGCTGTACCCCTTAAAAATACAATGGCCAGGAGAGGCGGGGCTTTGTTGCGGTGCAAGGACACAGTGTGATATCAAAGGCAATAAAGAGCAAACAGTTCATAGGCTGAATAAAAGGTGCTTCCCAGCTCTCAAGCACACAGAATTAGTACTTACTAGTTCAGTGAATTCACCAGTGACTGTGCCGTCTAACAGCTGGAATTTTCCTCCTTTGTCAGCTTCCACCACAGCAGGAGAATGAGTAAAAGCCTGGACCATCTATAGCAGGGGAAATGATTAGTGCAACATAGTCAGAAAGTGGCTCCTTGCATTAAGATGGCCAAGACTTAATTCACCAAGGTAGCGGAAACAACTGCTTGGTTCCAGGGTTGTGGAATTTTTGAACCACTCTTGATTCTGGACATGCTAGTAAGAGTCCACACCGAGGAAGGAAGCAGCACCTCCTATCTGCAACTGCACTTCTAAACCAGGAGGTGATGATGCTCCTCTACAAGGAAAACATGTTTGGAAGCAAGATTCCTGCCATAAGAAAACCTGACACTTTTAGGCTGAAGAAAGCCAATGTGGATCATGTGCTTTCACAAACTATGTAAAGGCATAGGCCATTTCAGCTGTAGAAAACTAAACCAGTGGTGTGTGAGAGAGAGTGAGTGAGAGGAATATTGCAAAGAAGCATATCTTCAGCTGTAGAAAACTGAACCAGTGGTGTGTGTGTGTGAGAGAGTGAGAGGAATATTGCAAAGAAGCATATTGACAATGTTGGCTTCAAAAACCAGCAGACACATTTCTTATCAGATCAGTTCTGAAACTTGTATGCAACAGGTGGTGAGAAGGTACAGACAAACCTCTAGATGAAGAGGTAGAAACATGTGATCCATGGGCTATACGTGGACCTTCCCAGGCCACTTTTTCACCCCAGAAAAGATCCTCGATTGTTTTTTTTCCAAATAAATGGCAGAGTTGCACTATATGGGCATGACTGTCCTCCAAAACCATGTGCCTCACCCACAATTGTTTTAACAAAAAATCTGGTTTCTTCTCTTGATGTTTTTGTCCAAAGTGACCAGAAGGTCACTTTCAGTTTCACTTAGAAGATCTCATACGGCCCCTGGAGAGTTTTGAGGCAAAAAAAAATGACCCTCATATCTCAATAAATGTCTATCCTTGCTGCAGACTATGCTAACTTACCTCCTGTGTAATGAAGACTCTGTACAGCTCATCTGGAGATGTCAGGAAAGTGTCCTTCAAGTTTATCTTGCACGTAGGAATCTTGACTCCAACAGATTTGGATTTAAGTGCATTGCTAGCAGCAGGTTTTTGAGTGGTCTAAAAGTGTATCACAGAATACAAGACTGAAGTGTATTTGAAAATGAGCCAACCTCTTCTCAGACAAGACTAATCTGTGTTCAGTGCAACTGCTATCAGGGTATGGCGCTAATCTACAACTACCCTTCTTCATGAGACCTCAACAGTTGCTAACTTTCAAGATGGAAAACAAATCAGTTTCTGCTCTAGTAGCAGCCCTAAGAGGTACGATCCAGTTACATGCCACAGAACAGACATGTTCCTGAAAACAGTGTATACTGTTCAGAACCAATTCATGTACTACAGCATGAAGTCTGCCACCACTAAGTGTACAGAAGCCTTCTGTCCTATACCTTACCATATAAGATAACCAAATGTTATCCTGCAATATTTCTACTCATATTATTTCAAACTAAGGCAAACTCACACGTGTGTTATCTTACCTTGCGTTCCTCTGCTTTACGGATAGGACAAGGTGCTGGATCTGACTGTTCACCATTCACTGTAGGCAGAATCATGCCTTGGGTAAATTCTAAAAAATATTTAAAGGGTTTTAATTCATACAAAACATTTACAAATCTGATCTCCGTTTCATAACAAGTCTAGCTGTAAGGCAGCACCACTAAAGTGAGACAAACTGCCCCAGGAAAATGGCATTTTGATAGCAAATGCTCATTTTGAATTGTGAAAACTAGGATGCACATGAATAGCTTTTAGGTCTGTACACTGAAAAACTAGTTCAGATGAGAACAAGTCTTCTCCTACTGTCTAGAGCAGGGGTTTTAAACTCAATTTACCTGGGGGCCGCTAGAGGCAGAGTCTGGGTGAGGCTGGGCCGCATCAGATTTTCCGCCAAGCGGAGCAAGAGCCCAAGGAAGCCGCCCAGGAGTTTCCTTAGCCGACAGACAGGTGGGCTGGCTGGCAGGCTGCAGCTCTGGATGGAGGGTGCAAGAGGTGGTGTCTTGTGAGAGAGCCGGCGAGCGAGGCAAGGCTTTTTTTTTTTACTCTTGACAGCAGAGGATGTGTGGGCGTGTTGGGGGGGGCAGGCAAGGCGAGGGCCACAAACTATCATCTGGGGGGCCACAAATGGCCCCCCGGGCCGCATGTTTGAGACCCCTGGTCTAGAAGAACGTAGTCAAAAGTATATAAAACCTAGTGATAATACTGAATGCAACCAGACACTGACTCAGGATAGATACTGTACTTTGGGACTAAAATATTAGAGACCAGCTTCAAAAGGTCTAGGCAGTAATTTCAACTCATAATGTAAATCTTAGGCCATTACTCCACCAAATGTTCTCTAGCAACTCGTTTTGCTGCTACTAACAAACTAGTATTTACATCTAACATTCCATACTTATATTTAAGCTATCTTAGTGACCATGGGCTGGTGGGAACAGATATTACACTGAATAGCATCTTTCTGCCAGTTGCAACCAGTGCAGCTGATACAACACAGGAATCCCCCAAAACAGACATAGATGAGTACTCAGCAGTAACATTCTGTTATCATCTGAAACGCATTAGTTCAAGGTGATCTCCAAACACATTTTCTTTTACCAGTCTTTAGCTGAGCAATGAGCCTTAGCATATCCAAAACTCGTTGTCTATCAAAACACTACTCCTTAGTAAAGATAACTCTATCAGAGCAAAGGTGTACAGAGAATACCAGAAGGCCACATACATCTTCATTCAGCAACTATAATATATACCAGGTAATACAAAGCATAACTGAATAAATATACTTTAATAAATGAAGTCAGAAGAAGCATTCTGTATCAAAATATATTTTACATCAATATACTGGTTCTCTCTTACCACATCTATCTAGCCAGATATTACAACAGAATAGCTATCTGAAAAAATGTAGATGATAAATAGTCTGGTGCCATGCTTGTTCTTATTTTGGAACAGTTCTAAGAATCATCTATTCAGTCATAACTAAATTTCTAATTAGTGTGCATTTCAACAAGCAGAACAAGGCTTATGTATTTGCTACTCAAATAGCTTTTAGGGTCACCTACTTACTAATATCACAAGTTCTTACTCTATACAAATGAATGATGACGATGATATTCTGTCAAGTCAGTTCTGACATACGGTGACCCTATGCAGGATTTTCTAGACAGAGAATACTGTACACGTAAGTAGTTTACCATTCCCTTCTTTTGGGGGGTGCTCTGGGACTGTGCAAATTGCCCAAGGCCACATAGGCTGGCTGTAGTTCCAGGAGGCACAATGGGGAATCAAACTCCCAACCTCTGGCTCTGAAACCTGATAAACATCAGAGCTATCTAGCCAGCTTAAATAAATAGATCATGATCTGTTAGATGTAGGTGTTACTTAGGTTGCCATTCTTCCAGACCTTTACATAACTTCTTTGTAAAGATGCTGCAATTTAAATGCTCTGATTCAGCATCTAATTTGGGGATTTTAGATGCTGAATCATCTTTGAAAGTTGTATACAGAGTATGTTACAAAAATCCAATCCAGATGTTATGGAGACATGTGTAACCATAGCCAGGTCTTTAACACCACCCCTACAAATTTATTTCCAGAGATATGTACTTTCATTGTCTTCTTTCCTTCATTTAACAAGATTAGTGGGGAGAGATTCAGTAAAAGGTTTCTGCCATTTGTTTGTCTCTGTCTTCATACCTGTTTTGAGAGTGCTGACGTAAGTCCTCAAAGCACTAACAATCTGTTTTACGCCTTCTTGCTTCATCAGTGCTAGCAGAGTGGTATCTGGCTCATCTTTTGCGAGACTAACTGTAATCTAAGAACAAAAAGAAAATAATTCCATACAGTTTGAACAGAAGGCATCTGCTTTCATTGCATATGTCCCAATTTGCACTATATCCATAAAATCATCTAGAGAAACACCCTCTGCAACAATAAAAGCAAAAGCACTCAATTTCCCTCCTAGAAAGTATTGAGGCAATGGAAGTATTGTAATTTATATCTTTGAAAAGCAGAAATCAAACTAGATCTTAAGACATTTAAAAACACTAAAAAGCAGGAGAGCCACTTCTCCAGTGAGGAGATACAGTGGTGCCTCGCTTAACGCAGCCACTTCTCCAGTGAGGAGATATGACATATCTTTGTCAAAGGCAGTGTAAATTATCATAATGAACCATCTGACTACTCAAGTTTGTGATCTTTTTCCAACAATGCAGCAGTCAGGAATGTCATTTTTAACTGAGCTCACCTCAACTTCATCAACATCATTTTCATCTGACAGATTAGGAATCTCCACATATCCTTTATATTTCACACCACTGCTTGAGGATTTCTTTGTCGAAGGCAGTGTAAAATATGATAATGAGCCATCTGACTATCTTTTTCCAACAATGCAGCAGTCAGGAATGTCATTTTTAACTGAGCTCACCTCAACTTCATCAACATCATTTTCATCTGACAGATTAGGAATCTCCACATATCCTTTATATTTCACACCACTGCTTGAGGTACCTATAAAGAGCAAAATATTGAATTAAAAGTCTTGTCCAGTTTTATTTATTTACTTAACTTATATACCACCCAAACCACACTCTCTATGTAGTTAACAACGCGTACAAACTACATGAAATACAGTACCAATTATAAACACTGAAAAGCAATAAATGATAAAATAAAACCATGTAACTCACTAAATCTGACATAAAAAAATTCAAACCACCTTTCAATATCAAATGGCACACATTAATAAAAAGCAGATTTAAACAATTAAATTTTAAGTAGCTTCTTAAAAACTGGGAGGGTGGGTGCCTGGTGAACCTCTACTGGTAATTTCCTACAAAGATATGCGGCTACAATAAAAAAATTCTGGTTTCTGGCAGTAACTTTCTTGGCCTCCTTCGGTGTTGCTCTTTTTAACGCTAATAAGTGCTAGGAACAGATTGGACAGGTAGCTATTTTGTAGGAGAGACATTCCAGTAGGTACTGGGATCCAATTTTACTTTTTTTACTGCAATTCTGACAGACCTGAGCATCCTAAAAATTAACAATTATTCTGTCAAATAGCTTTCTGATTCTTTGAAAATAACTTAGAAGATCTGCGTTTCAACAACTTAACACCCAGAAATCTGCAACAGGGCTTTTGCATGGCAAAAGCAAAGCAACCAACTCACCTGTCCAAGCCAACTTGATGTTCCACTCATAGAAGAAAATTAGCTTTCCTTTGCGGTTGTTGATGGAGGCTTCTCCATCCAGTTTACTCACTTCTGTTACTTCACAAACCCCATCTGCATTCTCTGCTCGAACAGCCAGAAACAGAGTTTTCAGCTTCTCTGAGGACCAGTTAGATGCATCTCTTTCAGTCCTAAGAAAGGAAATTCTCCGTGAAAATATGCAGTAATGAACAGCTGATGACTAAATATTTTCATATTGTAAAAAGATGGCTTTCAATACTTTGCATGCCCCTCCTTTGCTACACGTCTCTAGAGCAGCCGTCCCCAACCTTTTTGGAACCGTGGACCAGCTGAGCTTCTGAGAAAGGTGGGGCACCCCCACCCCTTCGTGCATGCGCAGGAGCGCCTGCCCGCCTACTTCTTTGCGCGGGTGCTCAGGCCCATGTGTGAAGGGGTGGGAGAGCACTCACACCGGTGCTGGCACGCTTGTGTGCACACAAAGCAGCTGTGTGGGGGGGGGGAAGGTCTGTCTCTGCGGCCCGGTCCGGCTCAGGCCACGAACCAGGGGTTGATGACCTCTGCTCTAGAATACCTTTTGCCAAATAATATTTGAAAAGTTAAACCTTCAAAACTGGCTTACTTTGAACCTTGACATCAGAGATGTGAAAGCTCATACAGTATAATTAGAAATAATCTAATTTCCCTCTCTTCTGTGCCCCTATAGCACACGGATTATTCTTCCAATGGGAAAAACTTAAATTTTAAGGGACAACAGCAGCAGCAACAACAAGGCCTGTGAAATATTGTTTTGAATGACTAAAATCCTTTTGAAGGCAAGATTTACACACTCATACAAACATTTTTATACTACATCTTTTGAATGTGTAAAACTTGATTTACATAACAAAAGATTTGTTCCCTAATATTTTTCTTCTTTTATTCAAAATTGTATTCCTTGGGATGGATGGGTGGGGGAATTCAGATTTGGAGTAAGGGCTTCATACATCTGCTCCCTAGAAAATGTAGAGTAGGACTATGCAAACTTTCTGACGTTGAAGGCTGCCTTTCCTCAGGGGCAATGTTTGTTGGAGAGGGGACACATTGGTAATAGGCAGAAATAAAGTCAAGTCTGGGGACAAAGCTAAAAAAGTCAAGGCCGTATCTTGTCTCTCCCCCTGCCACAACCTGGTGGACTGCTGGTGAAGGAACAGATTGTTGTGACACAGACTACAACTGATGGTTTACAGAGGAATTTTTCAAATATGGGTGTTAAATCCATATGGCCCAAAAGTTGCAAGGTTGCATTAGAAAATAATTCATCAGACTGGATACATTTCTACACCTTGGATGTCCTGTCCCCTATATCAGAAACGTGTGCAGAATCATATACTTATTTTAGTTTACTATAAAATTTCTAATTGGCAACCTCAACTTGTTTTTTTTTTCATATTTCTCAAACAGAAGAAAACAAGTTAGAAACGAGAGCTTAGAAGAAATAGTTTACAACTAGCCAAGGATTTAAAGTAATAATATTCTATGTAATACAATCTACTGAAAGTCAGTAATTTCTGCTTCCGTTTTATTCTTCTAAATATTTGACATTTACTTCTGTTTTTCATCACTCATTAATCAACAGAAATTTCTAGCACACTTAAAGAAATTCCAAAAAAATTAGAAAGAATCCATACCTTTAGTGTACCAATTTCTCCATACTTCATCCTAAATCTGTGACTTTACTTCAGCAGCATTACAGACAAAGAATTGAACAACCATTAAGAACTGAGTGGACTAAGATAAACTATGGTCATAACTGGTAAAACAAACCCTTGAGAAAATTATTTGTTGAAATGTAAATGCAGCTCTCTAAGGTACTACTGATCAGTCTGCTTGGTTTTCTCACTAATATCTTACACCAGTTATGGTGAACCTTTTTGAGCCCGAATGCCCAAACTGCAACACAAAATCAACTTATTTATTTCAG